CAACAGCAATACTTTTTCATTTCAAATATAATAGCGGAGCTCTCTGAAGGGACAGAAGTAATTAAATGCCGGCCGTGGATGGAACGAAAATTGGCTGATTTTTTTTTACCGTTGGTTGGTAACGTCAGCCTATTGAACGACCGATTTTTCGTTTTTTTTTTTAAAAAAACGGCCGGTTTTCGACCCGTCTATGGCCTGCATTACAGATAGTGTCTGGGAACACTCAGCCTACTGCCGCTCACAAGGTCGAGACCCTTTAGGTGGACAGTGATCTATCTGGCACAGCCAACCCTTTCACCTTGTAGGCCAAGGAGATGAGCTTCATCCACCAGGAGGCAATAATCTTGTTGGAAGCCATAAAATCATTACACGCTCCACCTAGAAAGACAAACAAGTGCTCCGACCTTCTGATGCCAGATGTCACCTTGATGTTAAATTTTAAAGCTTGACCCACATCTGATGGGCTAACTTCTCAGGTTCTCCCCAAGAGGGATGTAGGAAGGCAACTTTCTATGTGATATGGACTATGAAGGCCACTTAGGCACAATCTTGAGTATCAGAATGAGTACCTCCCATCCGGGATGAACGTAAGAAAGGGTTCTTTAAACCCCAGGGTCGCAAATACAAACCAGGGGCGGACTGACAACTCATGGGGCCCCTGGGCAATAGGGGATCATGGGGCCCCTGTGTCTTTGCCCAAACTCAACAATGCCTATGAAAAAGGTACCAGGGTCATCTCATGGGGCCCCCTACTGACCCTGGTCCCTCGGGCAGTGCCCGAGTTTCCAAATGGTCAGTCCGCCCCTGATACGGACACTCCTCTGGTTGAAGTAATTGCCACCAGGAAAGCAGTTTTCAGTAAGAGGTACCGCAAGAGGCCACTTTGATTGGAGGCATCTGATGTAAGCAAGTCCAACACCAATGGGAGATCCCTCTTCACAAACAATCCCTTAGGTTGGTTTCAACCAAGTTGTAGCTTGAAGGACAGTATACAGTAACTGAGTGTTGGATAACAGAAGAAGAAACAACACAGTGTAGACCAGGGGCGGACTGACAACTAATGGGGCCCCCGGGCAAGAGGGGATCATGGGGCCCCTGTGTGCTCGCCCACACTCAAACCACACCTAAAATAGCCTATGAAAGGTTCCAGTGGCATCTCATGGGGCCCCTTACTGACCCCGGGCCCTTGGGCAGTGCCCGACTTTCCGAATGGTCAGTCCACCTCTAAGTGTAGACTGTTCGACAGCTTTATTGGTTAAAAGGTAAGTTTAACAACTCACATCTTTAACCACTTACAGTCCGGACACTATTACCTCCTTCCTGTCTAGGCCAATTTTCAATTTTCAGCGCTGTCGCACTTTGAATGACAATTGCGCGGTCATGCAACACTGTACCCATATGATTTTTTTTGAGACAGATAAAACTTTATTTTGGTGGTATTTATTTACCACTGGGATTTTTATTTTTTTGCTATATAAATAAAAAAGTCCAAAAATTTGGGAAAAAAGTATTTTTTCTTATACAGTTTTGCAAATAAATAATATTTCATCATAAATCTTGGCCAAAATGTATTCAGTTATCTTTTTAGTAAAAAAAAAATATAACCCAAATTAGTTTATATTATTTTTTTATGGGTTTTTTTTTTTAACATACTGTCACCCTAGCAGTACAGTGACACTGTACTACTTGTGGGGGGTGATGAAGATTTTTTTTTTTACACTGATTGCTTTTACACCATAAAGGCTGTAAAAGCAATAATTTCTCCTTCTCTCTGGCTGCATTCTTGCAGCCATTGAGAAATACTGGGTGAGCTGTGATTGGTCACAGCTTGTCACATGGCAAGCTGACAGCGTAAGGAAAGTGCAGCCGAGAACCTGCAAGTGCATTTCCCGGTGATCAGCGTGTCAGTAGGACACAGCGATCACGCAGATCGCCGGGGGCACGTAGGAGAGCATGTTCTGGGAGGAGGGTCATATGACACCCTCCCAGAACTGGCTGGCCACAGTGCAGCCGTCCAGTGACAAATGAGGATTCAGAATTGGTGATCCGTGTTGAAACGGCTGAAAAACGCACTCACCAGAAGTAAGACACATAAACGCAGTGTGCATCTAGAGCTCATGGATCCTCAATCCAGAGGGGAGTAAAGCTGGTCCGGTTACAGGAATGGTGAATCCCTCCTCTGTGGATGCAGCAACAGATCCTCCTTCTCTCGATTAGGTGTAGAATTCCAAGATCAAGATTCTGCAAGCAAAAGCTCCTCAAGGGAGTTTTAGGGAAGGACACCCATAGTGTAGTAGGTTATAAAAAGCAGCTTTATTGAAATAATGATATCCAATTCAAAAGTAGGCAGGTATCATAAAGATGTGTCAGCAAGACAAACCATAAATGGTTCCATACCTCTGAAGATGTGCGTGCGCACGTAACGCGTAAGGAGGAGCCTGGACGTCGAGACGCTACGCCGCCGGAGCCACGTGGAGGCCCGGCGGCCATTATTCAGAGTGTCAGGGTTAGTTTGTCTTGCTGACACATCTTTATGATGCCTGCCTACTTTTGAATTGGATATCATTATTTCAATAAAGCTGCTTTTTATAACCTACTACACTATGGTGTCCTTCCCTAAAACTCCCTTGAGGAGCTTTTGCTTGCAGAATCTTGATCTTGGAATTCTACACCTAATCGAGAGAAGGAGGATCTGTTGCTGCATCCACAGAGGAGGGATTCACCATTCCTGTAACCGGACCAGCTTTACTCCCCTCTGGATTGAGGATCCATGAGCTCTAGATGCACACTGCGTTTATGTGTCTTACTTCTGGTGAGTGCGTTTTTCAGCCGTTTCAACACGGATCACCAATTCTGAATCCTCATTTGTCACTGGACACGTCCATATGACCAAGACTTTTAGTGGACTTATATCTGTCTTATTGTCACTACTTTTAGCGCTGCACTATTTTTATGTTTATTTCATTTAAGTTTATATTGGTTGCTTAGAGTGCTTAGCCGCTTTCAGGATTAGCGCTCACTGCTGTTTTTTTCTATTCGACAGTGCAGCCGTCAATCGGCTATCTGCAGTTGGCAACTAAGTCACGTTAAAAAATTTGAGTTTTTCAGCGTTTTTGTATTAGCGTTTAGCAGCATTTTTTCACGTTTGCATTTTTTAGAGGGTTTTTTTTTTTACCACAAAAAAGTGTTTGTTGGTAACAAAAAGTCCAAAAACGCTTGTTTTCCGCGATTTGACTGCGTTTTGACACATTAGAGCATTTTTTACAGCTAAAATACTCCTCTAGAAACCCACTAGTCCCAGGTTTTTTCTCCAGCCATAAAAACGCTGATTACAGTCTCTGTGTGTATGGACACATAGGATAACATGCTGGGGGTTTACTGGGTGTAGAATAAAATGCCAAAAGCCAAAAACAGCCGTTGTAAGACCTCATGCACACTTGACGTTTTTTACAGCGGCTGTTTTTGTTTTTTTATTTTTTTTTTTCTACAGCTAGTAAACCCCCAGCATGTTATCCTATGTGTCCATACACACATAGACTGTAATCAACATTTTGTGTCTGGAAAAAAAAACCCCAAACTAGTGGGTTTCTAGAGTTTTTTAGCTGTAAAAACGCTCTAACACTGAAAAACGCTGCAAAACGTGGTAAAACGCCACAAACTAGCGTTTTTGGACTTTTTTTGACAAAAAAAGCAACAGCAGAAAAACGCGAGAAAACGCCGCTAATTGCAGCAAAATGCCACTAAACGCTAATATAAAACAGCTAAACAAAAAGCTAAAAAAAATCCGTTTTTTTAACGTGACTTTACTCAGCTAACGTTACCAGTGTTATTCATAGCGTCCCGTGTGCATGAAGGCTGAACATGTGAGCTCCACTTCCCTGAGTTGTGTCTATTGATACTTTCTCACATTAAAGTTGATTAATTGAAAAAAAATTGGAGTGGAGGTCACGTTTCCTGTCCAGTGGAGCTCCACTCTGCGGCCTCTGCTTTGTTGCATTGAAGTTCACAAGAAATAAAAAATGTGGATTGGAGGTCACGTGTTTCCTGTAGAAAATGGAGCTCCATTCTGCGGCCAGACTCTATTGGGTATTCTGGGAATAGTTTATGTTGCTCCGCCCTATCAGGTGACCTCTGACTCTCCTCCGCCCCACCCAGCGGACTCCGGTCTCTTCCTACCCCCGGAACCAATCTGCTTGATTGTGTGTGTCCCCTCTAATCCCGCCCCCCAGCGCTGTGCATCGAGCCTGCGGTCCCCGCTCTGCGCTCCGGGGGAGGCCGGACACTGGGCCCCGCACACCACCAATGTCCCTGGAGCCCGAGCGAAGCTTGCCGATCTAAGCTGTGTGTGACCTCCCAGATCTCATCTCTGTGTCACATTCTCCATGCAGATCTAAACCCTGTATTCTGTATATATGTGATCTTTGTGTCCTCCAACCAGGCCTGTACCCTGTCCTTCTACATCCTCCATGCAGATTTGATCTGTGTCCTCCAACCATACCTGCACTGTGTCCATCTACATCCTCCATGCAGATCTGTGCCCTTCCTACAGCCTCCATGCAGATTTGATCTCTGTCTTCCAACCAGACCTGAACTCTGTCTATCTACATCCTCCATGCAGTTCTGTGTCCTTCCTACAGTCTCCATGCAGATTTGATCTCTGTGTACTCCAACCAGACCTGTACCCTTTTCTTCTCACATCCTCCATGCAGATTTGATCTCTGTCCTCCAACCAGACCTGTACCCTGTCCTCCCTACAACCTCCATGCAGATCTGTGTCATTCCTACAGCCTCCATGCAGATTTGAGCTCTTTGTCCTCCAACCAGACCTGTACCCTGTCCCTCCTACATCCTCCATGCAGATCTGATCTCTGGCTTGCCCACTCCCTGCCACCCATCTTGATCTGTGTTTCCTCCCCGCATCCTCCATGCAGACCTAAGCCCCACTTTTCCTATCAGATCAGGCGTGCCCCTCCCCCGGCTCTGTGTATGTCGCCCTCTGTATGATCGATCCCCCCACATACATGGAAGAAAGACTGAGGGAAGCATCTGCTTTGGGGGACCTGGAAGAAGTGCAGAAACTGCTCAGCTCCGGGGGCGGACGTCAACTCCCAGAATGAGATCAACGGCTGGTGAGTGGCTGCACCGCGTCTGCATGGAGGGTGACATGTATACACATCACTACTGATCTACAGTATAGAGGACGTTCAAACTGTATCGTGTCCGCATGGAGGGTGACATATACACATCACTACTGATACATACAGGATACTCAGACTGTACCGTGTCCGCATGGAGGGTGATATGTATACAAATCACTACTGATACATAGAGAGGACATTCAGACTGTACCGTGTCTGCATGGAGGGTGACATGTATACGCATCACTACTGATATAGAGGACGTTCAGACTGTACTGTGTCTGCATGGAGGGTGACATGTATACACATCACTACTGATACATAGAGGACGTTCAGACTGTACTGTATCCACATGGAGGGTGACATGTTAAAACATCACTACTGATCCATAGAGGACTTTCAGACTGTACCGTGTCTTGCCTCTCTGTGCTGGTGGCCAGTGGAACTTTGCCCCCTCTGTGCTGGTGGTCAGTGGAACTTTGCCCCTTTGTGCTGGTGGTCAGTGGAACATTGCCCCTCTGTGCTGGTGGTCAGTGGAACTTTGCCCCCTTGTGCTGGTGGTCAGTGGAACATTGCCCCCTCTGTGCTGGTGGTCAGTGGAACATTGCCCCCTTGTGCTGGTGGTCAGTGGAACATTGCCCCCTCTGTGCTGGTGGTCAGTGGAGCTTTGCCCCCTCTGTGCTGGTGGTCAGTGGAGCTCTGTTTGTCAGTGGAACATTGCCCCCTCTGTGCTGGTGGTCAGTGGAACTTTGCCCCTCCCTCTGTGCTGGTGGTCAGTGGAACTTTGCAGTGGAACCCCTCTGTGCTGGTGGTCAGTGGAACTTTGCCCCCTCTGTGCTGGTGGTCAGTGGAACTTTGCCCCCTCTGTGCTGGTGGTCAGTGGAGCTTTGCCCCCTCTGTGCTGCAGCTAAAGTTACGTGCAGATCCTGACTCTGGAGGGTGTTGAAGAATATGCCAGCACGTCTTAGGCTAGGTTCACACCTATGCAGTTTGCATTTGATCTGTTTCTGCTGTGCATTTTGCATTTTTGCACACGTGTTTTTGCCATGTTTTTGATGCGTTTTGCGTTTTTTTTCCAACTAGTTGCTGGGCAGAATAAAACGCAAAATGTATCATAAGCACACCATGTGCGTTTCTGCAGCATCTCTATTGAAGTTTATAGAACCAAAAACGCAACATTTTGCATTTAAAAATAGTCCCTGACCCTTTCCAAAAAACGCAGCGGGGTGAAAACGCAGAGATGTGAACGTGTCCCATAGGAAGTCGTGTTAAATGGACTGCTGTGCGCCTCTGCGAAACGCTGCGGAAAACGCTTAGGTGTGAACCTAGACTTACTGTTGTTTGTTTTCATCTCCAGCAGCATAAAATCATCAGACCCGGCCCATAGGCTGCAGAAAGGACCATTGGTATCTGTATGCGAGCAGCAGCCCCTGTCACTCATTTTGGATCTCTGCAGAGAGACCACTGCTTACACCCAGAAATCCGAGGTGGATGTGTGTTTCAGGGATTACTGCTTTGTCACCTCTTCTTGTTCTCTTTTATCCCTTGCTAGTATGATAGCCTTGTGTTTTCCCCTCTGCACAGGACCTGCCTTCACTGGGCTTGTAAACGCAATCACCTTCACGTCGTGTCCTACCTGCTAGAAGCCGGGGCTGATAAAGAGATCTTCACCAACAAAGGAGAGAAAGCCGCTCAGCTCACCTCCAAGAGAGAAATCAAGAGAGTTCTGGGAGGCAAGTTTGTCGTAGGTTCCCAGCCCCCTCCCTGTGCAGACCCCCACAGCCACCAGGCCAGGCATGTGTTGATAAAGCTCTTTAACATGAGGACAAGGGGGTGCCCCCTGGTAGGGTACCCTCAAAATGCTGTGGGCATGTGGCCTGGTATAGCTCCCCAGCCTGCAGCCAAATGTCATTGGCCAGATATAGTCAGAACCATATTTGGTGTGTGTGTGTATGTATGTATGTATGTGTGTGTGTGTATGTATGTGTGTGTGTATGTATGTGTGTATATATCTGTGTATGTATGTACAGTGAAGGAAATGTGTATTTGATCCCCGGCTGATTTTGAATGTTCGCCCCTCACAAAGAAATGATCAGTCTAACAATCAAATGTTCGATGTATTGTAACACTGAGACAGAATAGCAACAACAAATTCAGCAGAAATGCATCTAACAAATGATGACTGATCTGCATGTTCATGAGGGAAATAAGTATTTGATCCCCTATCATTCAGCAGGATTTCTGGCTACCAGGTGTCTTTCATACAGGTAACAAGCTGAGATTAGAAGCAGTCTCTTAAAGAGAGTGCTGCTAATCTCATTTTGTTACCTGTATAAAAGACACCTGTCCACAGGAGCAATCAAACCATCAGATTCCAAACTCTCCACCATGGTAAAGACCAAAGAGCTGTCCAAGGATGTCAGGGACAGGATTGTAGACCTACACAGGGCTGGACTGGGCTACCAAACTATGGCCAAGCAGCTTGGTGAGACGGTGACAACAGTTGGTGCAATCATTCCCAAATGGAAGAAAACACAAAACAAGTGTCAGTCTCCCTAGGTCTGGTGCACCATGCAAGATCTCACCTCGTGGAGTGTCAATGATCATGAGAACAGTGAGGAATCATCCCAGAACTACACGTGAGGATCTTGTCAATGATCTCCAGGCAGCTGGGACCACAGTCACCAAGAAAACAATTGGTAACACACTACGCCGACCAGGACTGAAATCCTGCAGTGCCACAAGGTGCCTCTGCTCAAGAAAGCACATGTCCAGGCCCGGCTGAAGTCTGCCACTGAACATCTGAATGATGCAGAGGAGGACTGGTTGAAAGTGTTGTGGTCAGCTGAGACCAAAATCCAGCTCTGTGGAATCAACTCGCTGTGTTTGGAGGAGGAGGAATGCTGCCTATGACCCCAAGAACACAATCCCAACTGTGAAACATGGTGGTGGAAACATTCTGCTTTGGGGGTGTTTTTCTGATAAGGGGACAGGACAACTGCACCGCATTAAAGGGACGATGGAAGGGGCAATGTGCCATCAAATCTTGGGTGAGAACCTTCTTCCCTCAGCCAGGTCATTGAAAATGGGTCATGGATGGGTGTTCCAGCATGACAATGACCCAAAACACACGGCCAAGGCAACAAACGAGTGGCTCAAGAAGAAGCACATTTAGGTCCTGGAGTGGCCTAGTTAGTCTCCAGACCTTCATTTGATTGAAAATCTGTGGAGGGAGCTGAAGGTTCGAGTTGCCAAACGTCAGCCACCAAACCTTAATGACTTGCAGAGGATCTGCCAAGAGGAGTGGGCCAAAATCCCTCCTGAGATGTGTGCGAACCTGGGGGCCAACTCCAGGAAACGTCTGACCTCTGTGATTGCCAACAAGGGATTTGCCAGCAAGTACCAAGTCATGTTTTGTGAAGGGGATCAAATACTTATTTCCCTCATGAACATGCAGATCAGTCATCATTTGTTAGACGCATTTCTGCTGAATTTGTTGTTGCTATTCTGTCTCTCAGTGTTACAATACATTTAGTTTTTTTAGACCGATCATTTCTTTGTGAGGGGCAAACATTCAAAATCAGCCGGGGGAGCAAATATGCATTTCCTTCACTGTGTTTGTGTAATATAAATTGTGTTATATTTGACTTTTTAATTATCATGAATTTAAATAAATACAAATTTATTTTCAGCACTTTTTTGGCTGCTTTCACACTGAGCAGTTTTTGAAGTGCTTTTGCATTTAAGGGCTCGTTCACACTTGGCTGTTTTACCAATGCTTGCCAAACGCCCCTATAGCGTTTGGCAAGCGTTGGTCCGGCGTTTGCAGAGCGTTTTTTAACGCTCGTCAAAAGCCGCATGCGCAGTGTAGCGGCGATTGCTAGGCGTTTGCCGAGCGTTAATAACGCCCCCCACAAACGCTTATAATGCAGTACGAGTGGTGTTACCGCTCCGCAAACGCCAGGCGGGCGTTTGCGGAGCGGCACCATAGACGAGAATAGGAGGATTCAACGCCTCCTGACTCAACCAGAGGCGTCCGTTTTGCTGCGACGCAAACACTCCCGTTAGAACAGCACCATGTGCTGCAATGTGCAGAATTGGCAGAGGTGTTTGGGAAGCTGTAAAAACGCTTCCCAAATGCCTCTCTGCCGCCTGCACACAACGCTAGTGTGAACGTAGCCTACAAAGAAAGCTCAAGAAAAATGCGTCCTTTTAAATTCAATGTATGTGTTCACACTGGTCCTCTGTGCTTCCCTTGCGGTGTTAAAAAAATCTTACTTGTCTCATTTTTGGTGCATATTTGCCGAGTTTTAAGAAAAAAGAAAAGAAAAGACACCGCTCTGTGACTAGTCATTACATTTTTCATTTTTTATGTTTGTAAATAAATGTTTCTTTTTTTTTTTTTAGTGGAGGATTTAGAAGCGGAAGAAGTTAGGCCTGAACCCGATTTATCTTTTGTCCCGAATTACCTCGCCAATCCGCCTTTCCCGTACAGTTACACCCGCGACAGCGCTGCCAAGCAAGAGACCACCCCCGCAGCGTTCGCGGAAAAACGGAAACCCGCACATCGCACCCGCCGCCACCCACCGCCAGCTTTCCTTTGCTAAGCAACGGCGTGGAAAACATTCAACTGACTTCTTCCGTGAAGAAAGAGGACAAGTTCCCGGCTTTGTTTTACAACGGCGAAGTACAGATCCCGCAAGAATGTGCGCACTCTCGCCTGTACAGACTGGATCCGTGTGCCAGACGCCGGTCTCCCAGAACCGCGGGATGTTCTCGCCTGTTCCGTCTAATCTTCCACACAGCGCCGCTCATGGTGGACCTATGCAAGTCTTTCAGCCGTTCTTCTTCACTGGAGCCTTCCCTTCCAACATGAAAGGTATTGCTGCATGCTCTGCCAGGGTCTCAAATATGTCTCCTTCCCTGCAGGAGGGAAGAGCCTAAGCGGCTGTGTTTTCCGGTTACCTCTTCCATCAGGTCACTAGCGGCTCCAACACTACAAAGTGGTTTTCACCCTCTCAGGGCCATTTTTGCGTTTTTTTGCACACGTTTAACCACCACCCGTCCGGCCGTTGTATATAACGGCCCCTGACGGTGGCAGTGCAGGTTCGGGTGGCCATTTATAAACGGGCCCCTCGCCCCCTGCTTGTGCGCGCTCCCTGGGAGCACGCAGCACCGCGATCCGGTGCCCGCTGTGTCCTCTGGACACAGTGGAACACCAATCGTTGGACGGGACCTCTGCACGAGGTCCCGATCATGTGATCACTGATTGGCCAATCAGTGATCACATGCAAAGTAGTAAGCAAGATGTCACTTCTGACATCATTGCTTACTACGTGTGAAATCTGTGAATGATCACAGAGGTCATATGGTACAGGGCTGTTCACAACAGTACCATGTGACAAGTACCATGTGACCAATCACAGCTCACTCAGTAGTTCCAATGGCTGCAAGAATACAGCCAGAGAGAAGAAAAGAAATGATTGCTTTTACATCCGTTATGGGTGTAAAAGCAAACAGTGTAAAAAAAACAAAAAAACATCTTCATCACCCCCCACAAGTAGTACAGTGTCACCATGGTGACACTGTACTGCTAGGGTGACAGTATGTAAAAAAAAAAATAATAAAAATATAAAAAATGTAAAAAAAAAATGTTTAAAAATTATAATTTTGGTTATAAACTAATTTGGGTTTTTTACTAAAAATATAACGGAATAAAATTTTGGCCAAGATTTATGATGAAATACTATTTATTTGCAAAATGTTATAAGAAAAACACTTTTTTTCAAAATTTTTGGGCTTTTTTAATTTACATAGCAAAAAAAATAAAGATCCCAGCGGTGATTAAATACCACCAAAATAATGCTTTATCAGTCTCAAAAAATGCTAAAAAATTCATATGGGTACAGTGTTGCATGACCGCGCAATTGTCATTTAAAGTGTGATAGCGCTGATTGCCCCCTGGGCTGAAAATTGGGGGGGGGGGGCAGAGTCGTCCCCCGAAGGGGGGGGGGGGAGGCAGTGTCCGAAACTGGAAGTGGTTAAAAAAACATGTTTTTTATATTTTCCTGAAGATTTGCATAAACCCCATTGGTGTCAAACCAGTTCCCATATATATTCTGAAAGCAGACATCTAGAGCAGTGGTTGCCCTCAACCTCAGTTCTAATGCCGCAACATAGGTGTCAGTTAATACAGTTCCTCATGTTGTGGAACTATAAAATTATTTTCGTTAGTGCCCCATCACTTCATAACTAGTGCCCCATCATTTTGCAGTGGGGCGGAATAGTGCCCCACGTCATTGAATAGTGCCCCATCATTGTGTCAGTGGGAGAATAGTGCCCCATCATTGGTGTCAGTGGGAGGAATAGTGCCCCAACACTGGTGTCAGTGGGAGGAATAGTGTCCCATCATTGGTGTCAGTGGGAGGAATAGTGCCCATCATTGGTGTCATTGGTGTCAGTGGGGGGAATAGTGCCCCATCATTGGTGTCAGTGGGAGGAATAGTGCCCCATCATGGTGTCAGTGGGGGAATAGTGCCCCATCATTGGTGTCAGTGGGGGGAATAGTGGGAGGAATAGTGCCCCATCATTGGTGTCAGTGGGAGGTGCCCCATCATTGGTGTAGTAGTGGGTCCCATCACTGGTATCAGTGGGAGGAATAGTGTCCCATCACTGTCAGTGGGAGGAATAGTGTCCCTATCACTGGTGGTCAGTGGGAGGAATAGTGCCCCACAGTGGTGTCACTGGTGGGAGGAATAGTGCCCCAACACTGGTGTCAGTGGGAGGAATAGTGCCCCATCATTGGTATCAGTGGGAGGAATAGTGCCCCATCGTTGGTGTCAGGGGGTCAGGAATAGTGCCCCATCGTTGGTGTCAGTGGGGGAATAGTGTCCCCCATCGTGGGGTGAGTGTCAGTGGGAGGAATAGTGCCCCATCGTTGGTGTCAGTGGGGGGAGGAATAGTGCCCCATCGTTGGTGTCAGTGGGGGGGGAGGAATAGTGCCCCATCGTTGGTGTCAGTTGGAATATTCAGTATTGACACCAATGATGGGGCACTATTCCTCCCACTGACACCAATGATACTTACCTTGCTGACCCCTGCTCCAGCCTGGGCTCGCTCGCTCCCTCCCTCTCCCATGGTACAGACACTTACCGGTCAGATGTCTTCCTTCTCCGGCCGATCTCCTCCTCTTCACTCGCTCGATCTTCGCGGTGCCGCTCGGCTCCTCCTCTCCAAGCTCCACCTCCTCGCCGGTGATTGGCCGCCTGTGTGCCTCTCCTGAGCTACAGTTCCGGCGGCCAATCACCGGCGAAGGATTGATCCCGGGGGTGTGCCCAGATGACAGGGACGGCATGTCATCCCGCCCACACCTGGAGACAGATAGAGGAGCGGTGTCTCTGTTCCTAAGGCCATCGGAAATATGTGTTTTCCGATGGTCTTAGGCGACCCCTGGGAAAGTGTCGTTCGATCCCCAAAGGGGTCGCCCCCAGGTTGAGAACCGCTGCTCTAGAGAATAAAATGGCGGTAGTGCCAATATTTTATGTCACTAAGGTCTAAGAAACGCAACATTTCTGTAAAAAAATTACACCAAAGTTAATTTTAAGGCACACAAACGCAACAAATCACCCAATTGTTTGGTAAAATATAAAAGTTGAGGTTGCACCAAGTACATAGATATCCAGCATGTCAAACCTTAAATTTGTGTGAAATGGCAACAAACTTCAGTTCCCTACATTTTTCACAGGAGGAAGTCACATGATGTGATGTAACGCTTAGAGTGTACCAATGACGTCAAGCCGCTAAACCGGAGGTTTACAAGCCGCCATCTTGGAAATTCCTGAACACATTGAAAATACATTATAACAAGGTTTTTTTTACTGTGGTGTCCCAGCATTCACGAATCCAGTGTCGTTTGTCTTCTGGGTTGAGTGATGCTCGGTATCATTCAGCCCACTTTCGGCGAGCTCAGGATGTCAAGGCAAAGTCCCCCCCACTTCTCACTGACTACAGAGAGGTGCTCCATCATTACATGGCGTCACTCTGTGCAGCATTCAAGGTCTGCTGATGGAAAAAAATCATGTGGAGCAGAAATCACCTGCATAGCTCATGAAACACGTCTTAACTATGGGGTTTTTACCACCCCCCAAAACTGCAAATGTGAATGAACCCTTACTGTTCAAGGCTGCTTTCACATTGATGTGTGACTGCGACTTTTCCTGGGTTAGCTGCGCTTTGCCATAGACTTCTATTATGTCCTGCGGGTGTGGTGCACTGTTTGAAAGCGCACCAAAACTCCATTCATAAAGTGCACCACACCCGCAGGAAGTAACCGAAGTCTATTGCTATGAGCAGAAAACCACAAAGAAAAACTGCAGGTACACTGCACTGCACCCGCGATGTGGGTAAGCCGCAGCAGATCAGTGTGAAAGAAGCCCTATACTATTCTTGCCCAGTGTATTGCTTCACACTGACCTGAAGGTCTCTTCTTCTGCTGGCACCACTCTGGATGTCGCTAGCCGGGATAAAAGATGGAGTGCAGTTGGTGTCACTCGGCATGGGACAGGAGCCGGCACTACAGAGGAGCTTATGCGGCTCTTGCTCCCTACTGCAGCTGCCACTTTACTAGTCCCTCTGCATTGCACTCTGTTTGATGCTCTGGGATGGTGGTTCAGCAAGCCCAGACCGAGGTCTACCAGTCACTTGGCCAAGATCTACTGGCTGCTGACCCCCGTGTTAGATGGAAAAGGAAGCTGGTATCTGTGAATGGTACAAGGACGTTTATTTTCATACATTGTACACTGTATCTCTGATGTGATTTTTTTTTTTTCTTGTTTTTGAGCAGAACTAGTCCTGAAAGTGAGAATTCAGAGTAATGCCCCTGGTGACAACGATTTCATCGAGGTGGAGATGGACAGGGAGGCCCTGACCTACAGAGAGCTGCTCCGAGTCTGCTGCTATGAGCTGGGCGTCAGTCCAGACAACGTGGAGAGAATCCGCAAACTGCCGAACACTATGCTCCGGAAGGTAGGCGCTAGATCGGTGCTGTCATTGGTTTCCTCTCTCTTACCCCCCCCCCCCGTCTAATTGAAGAGAGGGGGTAAAGGTCTCAAAAAGAAGTAGTAGGCAAGCGGCTCCAGAACGCAGGTTATTATGGTTTAGATTAGAGGGTGAATTTAGCAAAAGTTGTATGGGCTCTTTAACCCCTTCACTGCCGTAGACATAAGTACTATGTAGTAGAACGGTCATGTGGACTGACTCCTGGGTGCCAGGGATGAGCTCAGGCGTGAGTCTGCACCCGCCTGAGCTGTCCCACCAGGAAGCCATCAAAGATGATAGCCAATCATAGGCAGCGTCATTTCTTACTGCACAACCGCACGTATGCATGGGGTGTTTTATACTTGTGGCTATGGGGTGGGGGAAGCCTCCGTCACCTATGATTGGCTGTTGGGTTTGACAGCTTCCTAGCAGGATAGATCAGGTGGGTTCATAGTCATGTCCAAACATGCTTGGGGCCATCACTGCTGTTGCAGCTGGAAGTCTGTTTACATCTCCTTTCAACTTTGTGATCACTACCACTCATGCTGGAAGGTGTGCCCGCCAGTCATGTATCCCTGCCCCCCCCCCCCTCCTACCCCTCCTGGGTGCTTGCTATGCCCATGGTGGCTGTTACTGGGGAGAGTGGAAGGAAATCCGCTTCAGTGGGGTACAAAAGTGACATATAGGGCTAATGTCTGCTTTGAAGAGGGCCTGTCATTTCCATTTTATTATCACATAATGGTCTTTCAGGAACGCAGAACATAATATTTCTACCCTACCTGTCCTTTACAGTGGCGGCCATGACTGGCTGAGGGCAGGATTTGGATGGCACTGCTGATACGCGCTTAGTGCAAGGTTTCCTCCTGTGAATGTGATGCTTTGGTTTTTATCATTTTTGTTCTTTAATTTATTTAACAAAAACACTGAGCTGTTAGGCTCTACGATATACAATATGTTTGTTTTCACTTTAAATATCAGCGGTTCTAATCATCAGCACCCAGAAATAATCGTGCTGTTCATGTTACAGTTAATTATTTTTTAAAACGGGCATAACTGATTTAAGCCCCGGTTCACAGGAAAGTGCCATTCACATGTGAGTGCAGTGCGATTTGAGCCCATTCATTGTGAATGGGTTGATATTGCACCACATGCACATATTTTGGAGCCGCACTGCAACCGGATCACATGGTCGTTTTCTGAGGAAGAGGTACAACCTTGAAAAGCGTCAGCCAGCAGCTATCTAGAGGTGTACAGTCCCCCACCAGACCACCTTCAGGGGTTTTGGACCATATTGCATCCCTTGTGACATGCTTTCCATCTGATTTTTATTTCTCTTGTGAGTATTTTACTTTTTATACATAAATCTCATTTTTAACCCCCCTGGCGGTATTCCTGAGTGTAGCTCGGGGTAAAGTTTCAGCACCACAAGCGGTAACCCCCCCCCCCCCGAGCTACACTCGGGGAATACACTGCAGCGTTGTTCCGGGATCTCTTCTTCACTTACCTTGTCCTGCACTCCCGCGATGTCCCTCCTGCAGTGTCCCCAGCAATGTCCTCCAGCCGATGCTGGCATCTGTCTTCTGGGTTCCATTCCCTGCGACGTCGGGACGTACGGGGGACGGAACGGCAGGAAATTAGAAAATTGTAAAAGTGACATTCACTAAACACACTAAAATCTCATAGTATAACATTCCTGTATCAAACCATTTCATATACATTTTGTCCCGAGTGCTTTGTCCGGCGCCCTGCCTGCATTTTTACTGTTCTTTTCTGCCTGGAAACTGAGAAACGTCCATCGCGTCCAAAAAGCGTCCCTTTAGGTCAAAAGCGGTTTTAGACCGGCTAGAGAACAGCGATAGTAAATCAGAACCACTTGCAGAATTGAGTGATAATGATTCGTGGGGGAAATTCCTCATCAGACACTGAAAACGATTCTGCGACTGAGCTCAGTGATGTGCGAACTTGGCGCTATATTTCACATTTCAGTGTTTTTGGTTTGATTATATTATTGAATTAAATGTATTATCATATTATTTTTATGATTATTATATTATAATTTATGATTTTGTGTTTCAAATTTTATCATACCCGGGATGTTTGCTAGACTCTTGTTCGGACAGATTTCAGTGAGTTATTCCTAAAAATTACAGGCCTACAATAAAAAAAAAATACATATTTACATGCAAAAAAAATGTACCGCTTTGAGCACAGAAATACAGACATAATCAGACCGCTAGGGAGGCTACAGGTAATGCACTAGGCCCATGCGCCCTCTTTTTGTCTCTTTATATACATGGTCGTTTTTGTACCGTACGATCCAGTGCAGGCAAATGCATTGCTTTCGCGACCTGTGTTTGGGGTGTTGTTCAATTGTTTTGACAGCCGCAGCAGATCGCAAGGGCAGTGCAATTGCAAAGCAGTGCGGGAAACGCGTTGGGACATAGGGTTTCCCGCCCTATCTAAGTGTGAACCTAGATGTCTAAATATTCCTCCTGTGAGCAGCCCTACTGTCAGCTAGAGCCAAACCTGTCATGTGACAGGCAGCTGGATTACAGTCACGTGACAAGTGGCTGGATAACAATCTGGAATTATACATTAACAAGAGTCAGGCTATCTTCTGTGTCCTTAGGCCTTAATTACACTGCCGTGTGCACAGACATGCACTTCATTGTGTGTTGCGTGTTACACTTCAGTTTTTAAGATTCCTGTTCAGTAGATTTGGATGTAACTATGTAGGGACAGTTCACCCGCAGCATAAAAGGCTATTACCTGACACTCTGCGACGCAGCACAATAAGTGTCCATAGACACAAACAGCAGGACTCAGCCCCACCCCACCCCCCTCCTCTTCACTGGCTGTGAGTGACAGCAGTAGGTTCCAATGGCTCCCATGGCTGTGTCTCAGCCAATGAAAGAGAGAGAGACCCAGGAGAGCCCAGACTATAGAAAGAATCCATGATGGTATAGTAGAATTCTGGGATAAACCTAACTAGTCTTAAAAATGCCCCTTCCCAGGGGCGGACTGACCATTGGGAAACTCGGGCACTGCCCGAGGGCCCGGGGTCAGTAGGGGGCCCCATAAGATACCCCTGGTACCTTTTTCATAGGCTTTTTTTGAGTTTGGGCAAGGACACAGGGGCCTCATGACCCCTATTACCCGGGGGGCCCCATGAGTTGTCAGTCCGCCCCTGCCCCTCTCCTAACGGCTATGCTGATTAACCTGTTTAAGAAAGATGTGTATATTTACCTAGTCCGCACTGGTCACGTGACCCCTGTGTCAGTCAGCAGTAGCTGCTGGGGAGAGGAGAGAGCTCCTCTCCCCAGGAGCAGTGACAACCTATATAAGTTTCAATGGCCCTTCCCTTGTTGGTGCTCCCTCCTCTCCCCTGCAGCTGCTGCTGACTGACACAGGAAAGCCAGATCACGTGACAAGACCAGAGCACCCTGAAAATCGGCACGTATATACATCTTTCTTACACAGGTTAGTCAGCTTAGGTGTTAGAAGCGGGGTGGGGTCTTTTTAATAATAGGTTTTTCCTGGAATTGTATTTTACTTTATTTTAACCACCTCCCGTCCGGACGGTGGCAGTGCAGGGGCGGGTGGCCGTTTAGAAACGGCCTCCCCGCCCCCTGCTTGTGTGCGCTCCCTGGGAGCGCGCAGCACCGCGATCCGGTGCCTGCTGTGTCCTCCAGACGTATGGGACCTCTGTGCAAGGTCCCGATCATGTGATCACTGATTGGCCAATCAGTGGTCACATGCAGAGTAGTAAGCAAGATGTCAGTTCTGACATCATTGCTTACTACGTGTGAAATCTTTAAATGATCACAGAGGTCACATGGTACAGGGCTGTTCACAACAGCCTTGTACCATGTGACAAGCTGTAACCAATCACAGCTCACACAGTATTTCTCAATGACTGCAAGAATGCAGCCAGAGAGAAGGAAAAATGATTGCTTTTACAGCCTTTATGGGTGTAAAAGCAATCAGTGTAAAAAAGGAAAAAAAATCTTCATCACCCCCCACAAGTAGTACAGTGTCACCATGGTGACAATGTACTGCTAGGGTGACGGTATGTAAAAAAAACATAAGTAATAATATAAAAATGTAAAAAAAAGTTTAAAAATTATAATGTTTGGTTATAAACTAATTTGGGTTTTTTTTTTTTTTCTAAAAAGATAACGGAATAAATTTTGGCCAAAATTTATGATGAAATATTATTTATTTGCAAAATTTTATAAGAAAAACACTTTTTTCCAAAATTTTTGGAGTTTTCATTTACATAGCAAAAAAAATAAAAATCCCAGTGGTGAATAAATACCGCCAAAATAAAGCTTTATCTGTCTCAAAAATATGCTAACAAATTCATATGTGTACAGTGTTGCATGACCGCGCAATTGTCATTCAAAGTGTGATAGCGCTGAAAGCTGAAAATTGGCCTGGAGAGGAAGGGGGTGAAAGTGTCCGGACTTGAAGTGGTTAATAAAAGATTGAGAAAGGATCAATAGTTTGCTAAGTGCTTTGCAAAGCGAGACAGTACAGTTACAACTCCATAGGTTTAGGAGGACCCTGCTCGTGGGAGCTTACAATCTAAAAGGGAGGAGCAAGTGATGCAAACGGTAATAACTGTGGGGGGTTGAGTTGATGGAGAAGGTAAAAGTTTATTTGTGGGGGTAGAGGCAGGATCGTCTCCCCTGAAGAGGCGAGTTTTCAGGGATCTTCTAAAGGCAGCAAGAGATAGCTGAACAGATTGGAGTAAGGAGTTCCAGAGGGTGGCAGAGGCTCAGGAGAAGTCTTGGAGATGAATATGGGCGGAGATGAAGATAAAGCTAGAGAGCAGGAGGTTTTGGGAGTAGCATTTTGAGATGAGGTTGGTGATGGGCTCAGTTGTGGATAGCTTTTTTTTTTTGTTAGTATTTAGAATTTTATTTGTTGGGCAATCGGAAGCCAGTGGAAGGATTGGCGGAGATGGTTGGTAAGGTGGGCGAGTCTGACAGCATATAGATCTCTGATAGCAGATAAGTCTCATTCTACTGTTCTGTTTTATTTTAGGATAAAGATGTTGCAAGGCTTCAGGATTTCCAGGAGCTGGAACTGGTCCTGAAATATGACCACAGTCCCTTCAGATCCGGGACACTGACTGATAGACCATGCTTCAACAAGAAGGCTTCACAGCTAACCTACTGATAGAAAGAACTGTGTACGTGTTCTATCCAGAGATCCACAGCTAACCTACTGATAGTTCTGTGTACGTCTTCTACCCAGAGATCCACAGGTAACCTACCAATAGACGGCTCTGTGTACTTCTTCTACCCAGAGATCAACAAGTGGTAACCTTCTAGTAGACGGCTCAGTGTATGTCTTCTACCCAGAAAATCCATAGGTAACCTACCAATAGACGGCTCTGCGTACTTCTTCTACCCAGAGATCAACAGGTGGTAACCTTCCAATAGACAGCTATGTGTACTTCTTCCACTCAGAGGTCCACAGCTAACCTTTCAGTAGACAGCTATGTGTACTTCTTCCACCCAGAGGTCCACAGCTAACCTTCCAATAGACGGCTCTGTGTACTTCTTCCACCCAGAGGTCCACAGCTAACCTTCCAATAGATGGCTCTGTGTACTTCTTCCACCCAGAGGTCCACAGCTAACCTTCCAATAGATGGCTCTGTGTACTTCTTCCACCCAGAGGTCCACAGCTAACCTTCCAATAGACAGCTATGTGTACTTCTTCCACTCAGAGGTCCACAGCTAACCTTTCAGTAGACAGCTATGTGTACTTCTTCCACCCAGAGGTCCACAGCTAACCTTCCAGTAGACGGCTCTGTGTACTTCTTCCACCCAGAGGTCCACAGCTAACCTTTCAGTAGACGGGCTCTGTGTACTTCTTCCACCCAGATGTCCACAGCTAACCTCCCAATAGATGGCTCTGTGTACTTCTTCCACCCAGAGGTCCACAGCTAACCTTCAAATAGATGGCTGTGTGTACTTCTTCTACCCAGAGGTCCACCGCTAACCTTCCAGTAGACGGCTCTGTGTACTTCTTCCACCCAGATGTCCACAGCTAACCTCCCAATAGATGGCTCTGTGTACTTCTTCCACCCAGAGGTCCACAGCTAACCTTCCAATAGACGGCTCTGTGTACTTCTTCCACCCAGAGGTCCACAGCTAACCTTCCAATAGATGGCTCTGTGTACTTCTTCCACCCAGAGGTCCACAGCTAACCTTCCAGTAGATGGCTCTGTGTACTTCTTCTACCCAGAGGTCCACAGCTAACCTTCCAGTAGACGGCTCTGTGTACTTCTTCCACCCAGATGTCCACAGCTAACCTCCCAATAGATGGCTCTGTGTACTTCTTCCACCCAGAGGTCCACAGCTAACCTTCCAATAGATGGCTGTGTGTACTTCTTCTACCCAGAGGTCCACAGCTAACCTTCCAATAGATGGATGTGTGTACTTCTTCTACCCAGAGGTCCACCGCTAACCTTCCAGTAGACGGCTCTGTGTACTTCTTCCACCCAGATGTCCACAGCTAACCTCCCAATAGATGGCTCTGTGTACTTTTTCCACCCAGAGGTCCACAGCTAACCTTCCAATAGATGACTCTGTACTTCTTCTATCTAGGTAACACCTGACAATAACACATGCCTCGCATACAGCCGTGCCATCTAGCATTGCCCTTGGGTGGTGAGTCAGTACGTAATTCAAATAATTGACAAGGTAAAGAAAGTACACATCATTCGAACGACATCAAGAAGCACAAAGGATGAAAACCGGAAAATACCGTTTATTATGTTCTGGGTTTCCATTTCCGTTAAATGCCGAATACGGCAACCTTTGGGCATCCAGCTTTTGTGGAACTAAGAACACGCTGAGACTTGTGGTTCAGCTGCTAGAAGAGTCTTTGGATACCAAGCCTGCTCCTGTCCCATGTAAGGTATACCTGTCGCATATCATGCAGATTCAAGCAAAACTACACTCACCAGCCGTTGTAGAACCGCAGGCTCCAGCATCAAAGGTGTGCTGGAACTTGTAGTTTCACGACAGCAGGAGGTCAGCAGTATGCCTAACACTGATCTGGGCAGTACCTAAGCTAAGCTCTGAGCTATTATAGGAGAATACTGACACTTTTGTTGTTTACATTTTTAAAAGGACGATTTTGCTGGAAATAAGATCATTTTACCAACGTATTTCCTAGAATTATGTTCCCAAATTATCTCCCGCTGTACATTCACCTCCATCGGTTTGTGTGTCCATGTCCAGGAACTTTGTACTCCCTCAGTCCTGCTGTGGTATGAAACAGTGGAACATTTTATGGAGTTGGTAGGGGTTAAGGAGGGCTTGGGGATTGTTTCCAGTAGGCCTGGATGATCCCAACAGACCATATGGAACATGACGACCTTTATTGGTATCCGTTCTACCTCTGGGTCGTTTGATATGATTGACTGCTTTTCTGCATGCCAGGTTTTTGTTGAATTCCTTTAAAAGATTCTTTTAAAGAACAAGTTCACGATACAAAAAAAATCCTCCAACCCCCCTACCTAGCTCCTTAAAGTGATAGTAAATCTTCTTTATGTCTTTTTATTAAAATAACAAATATGTCATACTTCCCTGCTCTGTGTAATGGTTTTGCACAGAGCAGCCCCGATCCTCCTCTTCTCGGCTCCACCCGCTGGCGCCTCTGGCTAATCTACACCCCCCCGCCTGAGTGCCCACATAACAAGTCACTTGCCATGGAGGCACTTGTGTGCTCACTGCTGAGCCCTGCTCTGTGTGTCCACAAGACACAGAGCAGGGCTCAGCCCCACCACCCGGTCCCTCCTCACTGGCTTTGATTGACTGCAGCAGGAGCCAATGGCTCCTGCTGTTGTATGTGGACCAATGAGGAGGGAGAGAGCAGAGAGAACCTTGGCTCCCGTGCACTTGGCTGACTCCAGATTGGGATCAGGTTTGTATTAAGGGGAACTGCATGCAGAAGGTTTTTTTTACCAAAACCATCCTCCCATCGCCCCAACCCCTCCGCACACACCCCCACAGGTCCATACTTAAATTCTTTTGATGGCAACAGCCCCCCATGCTGTCTAGAGCTCAGTCGGTAAAATTTTAATTCCAGGGTGCCTGCGCCTGCATAGTCCCATAGACTTGAATGGGCCATACCTGCTCTGAAGGAGCAACATCCAATTGAAGTCTGTGTGATGTAAGTAGACAGGCCAGGCTGGAAACCACACAGGAGACCCCAAGTGCCAGAGGAGGTAAACACAAACCTGTGGGTAGGTATGTAATTTACTGAATTGAGGGGTCTAGGGGGACTTTACATGAACTTGTTCTTTAAGTAATCTTTGTTTCCTACAAAATCTCCTGCTTACGGTTGGCTTAAAGGGGGGGTCCATTTGTGATTTTAGTAGATTCCAAAAAGTTAACCTACCTAACATCTGTCTGGGAACTCTGGAGGGGAGATCTATGTACTGGGGTTCTGATGTCTGCACTCAAGTCTTGCCATCCTGGCTACTCCTGCACATTGCAGCCCCATAGATTTCTAATGGATCATCTCCGATAGTGGTTATAAATATAAAAAAATGCAGCGCTAATCACAAAAACATAAAAAGTTCAAATTTGTAAAAGTCCCAAAAGTATTCCCACGATCTACCATCACCAGGACACCCGAATGGTTCAGCCTCTTACCAGATATTCTGACCATAACACACCGGTCAATATAGGCAACTCCAATGGGAGATGAACGTGAATCATGGAATCAGCAGTACTCATCTAGGTTGATATCAATCTTCCCCTTTAAGGATCTGAAGTCGGTCCTAAAAGAATACTCTGATCCAATATTTAAGTAAAGGATAAAAGAAAAAAAACACTTATAGTGTAGTATTTGATTAATAAATTCACCCTGTTTAATTTCAAGTTACTCGTACATTGTTTTGGAGGGTTACCAGCATTTGTATTACGTTTCCAACCAAGAAAATGTGCGCCGTCCCTCCAAAAAACGTGATGTCAATTGGATGACGAAACGCGTTGGTTGGAGCTTCAGCATGTGACGTCATCACGTTTTTGGAGGGACTGCGGCCATTTTCTTGGTTGGAAACTTAATATAAATGTTGGTAACCATCCAAAACAATGTACGAGTAACTTGAAATGAAACAGGGTGAATGTATTACTCAAATACTACACTATGAGTGGCTTTTTTTCTTTTATCCTTTACTAATTTACAAATTGGAACTTTTTATGTTTTATTGGATTAGTTGTTTTTGTGATTTGCGCTGCATTTTTAAATATTTTTTACCATTTTGTTTATTGCTTAATATGCTAGCTGCTTTTCTATGTTATTTGTTTAGTTACCTAAGTGCAGGTTTTTTTGTTTTTCATCTCCGATAGTGTCCGGCCTTAGCACAGCCCATAAAAGTCTATGGGGCGCTAATGTGCAGGCATGGCCAGAACAGTGAGACTTGCAGTGCTGGATGTAAACAAACAACAGAGGCACTGCATCCAGAGATCGAGCAAAATATGCATCTGTGGAGGGGGTTGGTGGGGCAGGTTAGCTCCAGGAGATGGGGGAGAATAAAAACATTTAAGGCACTTTGTCCTAATGTGCACTTACCATTTGAATCTAAAACTCTCCCTGGTGATCCTGCCCTGAAATCCTTTGTTCAGGCACTTTGTTATAGCTTGGTTTCCTGTCTCTCAACCGATCTCCTGCATTGTTACCCTGTCACATGGACTTCCAGTGGTGACTACAAGTGGTCGTTTCAACACACGATACTCAGGCATGGTCCACCGTTGTCATCATCAGGAAACCTGGAAACAAATCTTACCCAAGTTCAACTGCTCTATTCACTATGTGGAGACAGGAAACCAATGCACTGGCTGGGGCGTTCACTCCTCACAGTATATGTCCACAATACAGGTAGCCGGGACTTCGGAAAGCTTCTTAATGTAAATCTATTGGTTACATTGAATACAGAATTCACAAATCTTCACGAAGCCTTCCTCATAGCATATCAAGCTAAAATGCATTAGGTTTTTGGATCCTTTATTCATGTAACCAATAACGATTTACATTAAGAAGCTTTCTGAGTCGCTGGCTACCTGTATTGTGGACATATACAGTCAGGAAACCTTCCCCGAGAAATGGCAGGGGACCCATGCTGGAGTGCATGTAGACGAGAAGCAGTTGCCAAGAAA